AAAAGAAGGCTTTAAAAAGATCGGTATCGGTGATCGGTATCGGCAGATACTGCTTTCTGTGATCGGCGATCGGTGATCGGCCTCAAAAACCCTGATCGGAGCACCCCTAGTATTTAGTCTAGGCTTGTCTGTAAATTAAAATATTTAGTAATGCGACAAAACACAAAAACAGCTTTTTAAACAAGTTTTAAATGCTTATAATAGTTCTACAATAGTTTGTCAATAACAATAGATGATATTTTGCTGGGTGTGGGATTTGTGCTGCTGCCTTGTTTAGGCTGACACCCAAAATGTTTTTCATATTCTTCCTATTTTTTGGGCAGCCCTTCACAGCCGCTCCTTGCGTATAAAAGAAAGCATTATACAAAGCAAGGTAATGTGATAATGACAAATTGATATTAAATGCAACCCAATTGTGTAATTAAAGCATAATTAGAGTTGAATGAATTAAAATAGAACTAAATTAAACATAAACAAATTTGCTTGGAGCCTTGATAAACAGAAGGCATGCTGCCACCGCTGACCTTTTCATATTCGCCGCACCTAAATAAATGTTCACATCTTCTGTGTAATTACAATGTCATCAGCAAGATTAGAGGTGACATATTGAATCGGTTGATTTGCTGGTTCTGATTAGTGGTCGATCAATTGGAGTATTCACAGTAACGCAAGTGTTTTTATTTTTTTATATTAGTTCATATAAGAAAGCATATAAGACTCCTGATTGGGAAAAACTGGATTTCAGCATTAAGTGTGTGCATCATATAGACCTGGGTGATAAAACTGGATTGGTATTTATTTATCAACGGTACACCTTCATTGATAATGATAGAAAAAATGTTCGATATAGCGCACTATGCTATGAGTGACAAGCAGACATGATGACGATGTAAGCGTCATTGTTGCATTTTAATGTTTTAAGTCAAGTCTATCCAGTTAAACCCACGAGATGCGCCACTGTTGTGCTTTTCATTCAAAATATTAGAGAAATATAGAGAAGCTCAATGTGGAGAAGATCTTGGTTTAAAACCGAAACCAAGCCATTCACACAGAATGCATGTTCTGCACATTTTTTTTTAGACGGACAACTATGACTGCATGGCTTTCTATACATCTCTTGTGTGAGATGCAAAGTTAAGAGTTTAAACTTTTAGAAAACACGTCATAAATTTGTGGAGGTTTATTCCATTTCATTGCGTCTTAAATGTTTTTAAATGCAATCTGTGTGATCAGCGCTACGGCTATTTGTTATTAAGCTATGCATAAACAATTATGAACAAAACAGCATTATGTATTTATGCAATTTACGAAATTATATTTGATTTATATATGTTTATTTAGACGTCATTCACTTTTTTTATAGACTTATTTCATTGCATTGAATAAACAATGGAGACAAATTAAGACTTCTTTAATCTGCATAAAAACATTAAATACAATTTAAACAAATATCTCCTTTCTTGTGTTTGACTATTAAAACAAAAAATTGTTTGCTTGCCTGTAAAAATACAGTGGTTAAATAAAAAAAGGTTATTAAAATATATGTTTTTAAAAAGGTTATTAAAAAAATGGCAATAATTGTTGATACCAGAACGATATGAAACCCATCATTGATGCCTGTGATTTTTCTCTGCGTGCTGACGCCATCGCTTTTCATTTGTGGTGCTCTCTCAGAAGGTAGCAGCTTATGTAGTAGGCGGGTGTTTTCTCCACTACTTATTTCTGAGCTTCTTCCTGTTTTAATGCATCTTACAGACCTTTTCTTCTCTGTGCTTTGTTCTTCACGTTACCTTTCTTATTCTTCTCCTCCCTTTTTCTTTCCTTCCTCACTCTATCATGTCCCTTCTCTGGCATGCAGCTATGAGTCGTCAGACGAGGTTTTGCCCCACACGCCGCGGCTCACTCATTTCCCCACTGTGTCTGGCTCTCCGGCTAGTCTGGCTAACTCCATGCAGAGTTTTGGCCTGTTGACCCCCCGCAGCCGCCGGCACACACCCTCTGACATGTAACGACTGAATTCTGCTTTTCCATTACTGTCTGCTCCCACCTGTGCAGGTATCGCCCTTGATAATTGCACTCCACTTTCCTGTCAGCATCCTCACACAATTCAGGGTCATTTAAAGGACCTCCATGAGCTTCATTTTGTTATCCCCCAAGTTGACCTCTCTTACTGTGTCATGCATGTTGCTTCGCTGATGATGACTGCCTCCAGTGGTTTCTCACCTGTATTCAATGACAGCAATGCAAGACCGCAGCGGTGTTCCATCTGTTGACTGATCATAAGCTTTTTGATTTCAACTAATATAGTTTAATAGTCGAACTGCATTGTTTATAGGGTTGCATCTGGGGATTATTGGACATTTAACATCCCAGGAGCCTTTTATAACCCATGTTTGCAGAATCTGAAATCATGTGACCTGTAGTTCTGTTCTTCAGTGAGCACTGAACTTTGTCAGCTTCTTGATGTCTGTTTGATTCTCGCCCTGCCTCATGGCTTTCCTCGTCATCCGTGTACATCTGTCACTCGAATCCACTTCAGCAGACATTCATTTATCTAAAAGGCGCAAGTCACATGAAATATAGGGACAGAGCAGCCCAGCAGCTTTCTCTATTTATGCATATGTATTAATGCTGATTGCCTCCCAATCACACTTGACTTGTTTCTTGTGTCTCCTGCAGATACGAAGAGTCTTTACCAGAGGAGGCGTCATCGAAAGAGGGAGTAACAGAATCTGATAAAGACAAATAAAAATGCGGGTTGAGCCCTTAGTCATGTCCTACATTTGTTTGTCCTAGTGATGTGGTCATGTTCAGAGTCTGCTCATGGCAGTCACATGTTCTGTACTTTTGAACTTTATTTTAATGATGTACAACAGCTTCCTCGGTGCCTGTGTATTCTCCTTGTTCCTTTCGTTCAATTCATTGCCTTCAACTTTTGAAAATTTGATTTTGGTTATTTGCTTAAAAAAAAAAAAACATTTTTTTTATCATTATACAGTATTTGAACAGGGTAGAAGTTAGGCTTTCTGAATGTAATGTGTCAGATTGCTATACAGATTCTGATTTCACAAGTCCGGTACCTACAGTATTCCTGTGTAGCTGGTTTCTGTTATTGGTTTTACTCTAGGATCTCATAAGAGATTCAGTTTGTGAAACAAGTAATTGTCCATCTTTTATTACATGAAGGGACAAAATCATTCTGGATGAAATATTTGTACTTTATGCAAGTCTAAACAAAAGTGGGACCAAATATCTCCCTATAACGTGATAGTACACTCTTAAAAATAAAGGTGATTCACGATGCCATAGAAGAACCTTTTTGTCTAAATGGTTCCATAAAGAACCTTTAACATCTGAAGAACCTTTCTGTTTCACAAAAGGTTCTCTGTGGTGAAAGAAGGTTCTTCAGATTATAAAAAGGTAAGAAAGAGATTGTTCTTTAAAGAACCTTTGACTGAATGGTTCTTTGTGGAACCAAAAATGTTTCTTCTATGGCATCGCTTGAAGAACCTTTTGAAGCACCTTTATTTTTAAGAGTGTAGTGTTTACATGTGATGTTTTTCTGTATGTAGTTGAAGGGTTCTGAGTTTAGTTTTTTATGCCATATCGTGTCCTGATCATATTTGTTTGTACACCTCATGCTTGGCTTGGTAAGCATCATTTTACAGTCTCCTCTTGTGTAATCTCTTTTCTCAATGTAAAAGTGTAAAAGTTTAAGCTTACGTGAGGAGCATTTCTTTCTCGGTTTAACTTTTTATTTGCATTAAACTGTGGTGTTTACCACTGTAGAAAAGCATATAACCAGTGTGTGCATGACTATTTTTCATACTGAAAAATCAGTAATGGTCATAACTTCAAACGTTTATGTTATGTGTATTATGTATTATATATATTTTATAGGCCATCATGCAAGTGTGAAGTTTTGAACATGAGAGAGAGCACAGGCAGGGTTCGCGTTAACTATTGGAATATGCTATCTTTTTGCTGGATTACCAATACATTGAATGAGTAAACGGCACTGATACAATGCTTGTGTTGATAAACAAGCCTAGAACATCATGCACTCTCAACTAATCCAACACTAACTTGGAAAAAAAATTCAAATATTATTGACAGATAAACAACATGAATTTAAAAAGAGTCAACTATGTTTAAAAACCAGAATAATAGAATAAATGAGAACTCTGTAACCAGGGTCAAGATTAGGAATGAAACAGAAGTTATAAATCAAGTCACCTTTATTTATATAGCGCTTTTAACAATACAGATTGTGTCAAAGCAGCTTTACAGTATTAAACAGGAAAATGGTGTCAATAATGCAAAAGTGAATTGTAAACACTCAATTTTCAGTTATTTTTTAGTTTTAAACAATTACAGTTAAATACAGTCTAATAAATTTGTTAATCACTGTATGAAATTGAGGAATTGGTCATCTGAAAATAAAGTGATTACTGTTTTACAAGAAAGGCAGAAAAATAGTAAAATTAGAAACGGACTGAAAGAGCTTACACATAGTGGTGGATTAACCTTAAATATCGCATGCGATTTATCGTGCAGCCCTAGTACAAATGCAAAGGAAATATGATTAAAATGTGAATGAGAGGTATTGTGTGCCTGAAATAATAATAATAATTAAAGTATAAATGGTGTTGTGTATCACACACGTTTATTGCACATTGGCAGCATTTATCTGTTCATGAGGTAGATGGCCTGAGGAAAAACTTTTTTTTTTGTGCCTGGCTGTTCTCAGTGCTGTGAAGCGCCAACCAGACAGCAACCCAGATAGCAAAATTCCTGAGGCCCAGATCAGGCCCACACCTGACACTTTCATCTGGCCCACATACCACGTGGAATGATGGCAATTGGGCGGTCCGCTCCTGTTTGCCAGATTTGGGCCACAAGCAAGCCCCTTTATTTATATAGCGCTTTTAACAATACAGATTGTGTCAAAGCAGCTTTACAGTATTAAACAGGAAAATGGTGTCAATAATGCAAAAGTGAATTGTAAACACTCAATTTTCAGTTATTTTTTAGTTTTAAACAATTACAGTTAAATACAGTCTAATAAATTTGTTAATCACTGTATGAAATTGAGGAATTGGTCATCTGAAAATAAAGTGATTACTGTTTTACAAGAAAGGCAGAAAAATAGTAAAATTAGAAACGGACTGAAAGAGCTTACACATAGTGGTGGATTAACCATTAGAGAAACAAACAAACAAAAGATTATGCTAATCACCAATTCTGTTTTCCATAAAACACAATATACAAAATGGACAATATATGTATTTATAGGTATATTATGTACAAATTAGGGCTGCACGATAAATCGCATGCGATATTTAACGCGCATCTTGTCAGAAAGCCGGTTCTGTAATCAGCGGTAAATCTCCATCACCTGCGGGCTTTCACATTGAGCAGCATTAACT